GTCCAATTGTATAGCAGCAATAACAATAACATAGCAATAACAATCATGATGGTGAAAACGATGAATTTGCAGTAGCCATTGTTGTTCTCTTTAGTGAGTGTATATATCCGCATTCATTGGGCTATCTGGATGACCCAAGGATCTCATCGAAGCTTAATGAACCTATTGATTGGACAGACTCTCTTTAGAAGCGTATATGCAGAAATCATCCAATTAAAGTGTTGAGAGGCGATTTAAAGGGATATGAGAAATGGCCAAATTGTATTAGTGACATATTCCAGCCAGAATATGATGGGTTGGTTGTGTGAATTGATTGGAAGATGGATAATTGATTTGACTAAATGGGCATATATCCATCCGCAAGAGGGATGTGGAACGGAAAATAGGAGCGAGCATCAGGATATGACCAGAAGGAAGTGCTTTATATCGATCACAATGGTTATGTGTAGGGAATGTTCGTGCAGTATTTCATTTATTGAGTTTTTCCAATGAGTGTTGAGTATTTACTGCCTAACTATAATATTTCATTTAGCTGGGTTAGATTAAGAAGGAAGCACAAAAATCCATAGAATGATCCTAAATCGTAGTAGTTATAGCGAAATGGATGACGAATGTGCAGCGAAATGATCTAAAAATATGGTTTTGGCCAGAAATTGTTTGCTCGTGCGACTGAAAAACGTCAAAATTCATCGAAAAACGAATAAGAGTCTCCAGTTTTTGTCTCTGAATCAACGCAAATTGTTCCACAGTACGGCTGGATAGGGAACTCGCAGGATTCGGACACACCCGAGGGTAATGTTCGGGGACCTCCCAGCACCTACGAGGTTTGGGATGCTTCCGATAACATCCCTCACTGTCGACTTCTTCCAGCTTCAAGGACCGCCGAGCACTATTTTGTCACTGAGCCAGTTCTGCGTCACGCGTTTTTCTATGATTTGAAACGAGGAAAAATCCTACTTATTGAGTGGCTGCCGAAGTTCATAATGCGTTTGAAGGTTCTCATGTGCTAGATGTTGAAATCTAAAAGATTAGTTT